TACCCCTGAGGGCTGCGATCCGCCGCGGGCCGCACATGCAGGGAGCGGCGCGGGGCGCTCGGTGGTCGGCGGCCACTGCGCTCGGCTCAGCCCGCGTTCGCCTCCAGCGCGCCGCGCGCCGAGGGGCCGGCCGGGGAGGAGCGCGCCTGACCGGGCGGGGGGAGGATGAGCGGGGGCAAGCGCGGGGTGCAGGTCCGGCCGGCTACGGGGAGAGGCGGGGGCCGGAGAGCAGGGGAGCGTCGGTCTGTCCGCGCCTCGCCTTAGCCGGCGGCTCCGGACTCGCCGCCCTGCGCCGGCTCGCAGGATCCCTCTCACCTCCCCAGCTCGCCAAGTGCGCTGGAGAGAGCGAAGCAACACTTGTGGAATGAAGGGAGGGCAGGAGGGGAGGGGGAGGGGGAGGGGAAGGAGGGCGGGCAGAGGAGGGAAGGGGGGTGGAACGGGCGCGAGCTCCAGAGGGGCGGGGGCGCGGAAGAGGTGACTCGGGCGAGCGGGGGGGGGGGGCGGGAGCGAGTTGGGGGGCGTGCGGAGCTGAGCTAGGCTGGCGGGCGGGGAGGAGGGAGCTTCGGCAGCCACCGGGGCTGAAGGCACCGCTCGGGTTTCCCGGCAGGTGGAGGATGGCTGCGGGACCTCCCGCGCCCTCTCCGGGAGGGAGGCACGGCTCAGACCTGTTCCGGGCGAAGAGGCGGCTCCGCCCGTGGCTTTTTCAGGCGTGCGTGCGGAGGAGCTGCGGCTCCAATCTGCCCTCCAGGGAAGAGGGGACTCGGAGGGGTTAGGGACAGACTAAGTGGCTTCCACTCCAAGGCGGACTAGGGTACAGACTGATCAGGATCGCCCCTCCATGGTGCACGGGGCCGCCTCGCCCTTCCTTTCCCCCGAATGCGCCCTCCAGCCAGGCGCGCATCCGGGATGGTTCTACTCCCTGGGACTTGCCGAGGACCAAGGCTCAGCTGGGAAGGCGGGGTGGCAAGCCACTGGCCCCGAGGTCAGCACCCCCGGGAGAAGGCCGTGAGATGCAGTGAAGTCGAAGAAGCGCAGAGGGTAGGGAGAGAGCAGACCAGGCAGGGGCACGTCCCACGTCCTGGAACGTCTTTCCTTGGGACTCTCCTAGGCCCCAGGACCTGCCACTTCTGTCCCTCTATGACCTCGCGGCGTTCCCTGCGTTCCACAGGAGGGCACACCGCCGCGCCTCCTCTGCGCGCCCAGATCAGGTGCAACGCAAGGCCTGGACACCTAGCTTCAGCCACCCTCCCGCGCCTGGAGTCCGCGCGTGGGTCTCCGGAGACGGCTGGCGCCTGTGCTCACGGAGCCCCCCAGACATCCTCACCCGATGTGGCGCAGTCCGGCCTTGCTTCCTCGGCTTCCAGCCTCCGGTCGTCGCCCGTCAGCATTTCCAAATCTGCCCTCTCCACTCAGCAGATTCCAGCCATCCGTCGGCCCTCTCTCATTTCTCCCACTTCTGTCCTCTGCTTGAATTTGACTCCAATAGCCCCCCAAACAGCATTTGCACCAAAGCTGCGACACCGAATTTAGATCTCCACACGCCCCTGCGTTTTTGTTTTTTTAATTGCATTAACTAAGTATACACTTCACAGTCGGCTGGGCGATCTGCAGGGAAATGATGCCTCCAACCACCCCACCCCCTGCCCTGGGCTTCAGTCAGGGCCTTCTCGAGGCATTTTCAAAGCACCAAAAAGTCAGACCACGTATAAAATGACATAGTGGGTTCTCTTTAACTGAAAAAGCATGCTAGAGAGGTGGCTGCTGGCCTCTCTTGTAAGTTTTCTCAGAATGACAGGGAGCTAAGCTAATTGTGCCTTCTCTTCGAAGAATGTCACCTACTGTCTTCCGAAAGACTAGCATAGAATGACCCTATTCCAGGAAAATAGGAACCAGGCCGACCCTGACCCAGCATATCCAGGAGCATGCCAGCCCTCGGAGACTCGTTGAATTATGGGCTGTATTTTGTCTCAAACCCACCTGGACCAGGTGTGAGATTGTTCAGTCTAAATGCATCAGAGCCATCGGAATGAGGTTCCCGAAATAGGGTAGCGTGACATGTCTGTCGACCCACACCCACCACCACTGTGTGAGCCTCTACAAACACAAGCATTGGTGTGTGAGAGCTAATGATAGCTGACATTTATTCGATGCTTACAACATACCCACTAAGCTTGTCTTTTCTAAAATCACCTCCTCACAGATGCTCAAAGCAGTGCCTGGCATCTCGCAGACAATCTGGGAATAGTTGCTAAACCACTTGAGTGACTGATCTTATTTAACTCTATCTCTAGGTAATATTACCGGGCCCACACAACAGAGGGAGAGACTGAGGCCCAAAGCAATTAAACCAATTGCCCACAGTAGTGCAGCAAGGGACGCTACCCAGTTGGCATTTGACCCAACAAATGTGACTCCTGGGTCTGTGTTCTAACCATTCCAGGTAGTGCCTTCCTAAAATAGGCCTCCAGACTCCCTGTCCATCTGACATTACGTTATATATTTGGTTTTTGCCTGTCTCCTGTCTCCGCACGTCGATTGGCAAACTCCAGGACAGAAAGGGGCCTTGATTCCTGCAGCATCTCCCAGCACCTACAGCAGCGAGAAGCATGACAAACACTCAAAAAATACTTAGAGGCTGTTTTGATTAACTTACTAAGCTCTCTTACGCCAGACCGTTGGTGTTAAACCAAGGGAGGAAAGGAACCCGTACGACAGGAACAGACAATGGAGTTTCTGCTGTCAGGACCATGCAGAGGGATTGGGATATTTCTAGGCACTAAATCTGAATAGGAAAGGACTGTTCCAGCAGGCCTGCCGAGGTCCAGGAAGCTGAGGCTCAAAGAGGTTAAGGGCTTTGTCCCAAGGTCACATGGTCAGCAAATGGGAAAGCCAGGGCTGGGTGCAGAATGCCAGACTCCTAACCTCTGCTTTCCTGCTTGCCCACCCCCACCGCACCCCACCAAGGCACCTCCCAGCAAGCATAGGGCTGGGAGCCTAGGTCAGTGGCCTGGTAGAAGCATAGGTCACAGACACCTTCCCACACAAGTTGGGGGTGTTCAGATACTTCTAAATTTGATTTTAAGAAAGAGGGAAAAAAAGCACCTTCGCCAAAAGAGACAAAATCTAGACAGCAAAGTCCATTTTAGAATGTCTCCAATCTCTGTAAAATATTGCCTGTCACCAGAACATTTGAGTCCGGTTCTCAGAGGAGACTCACTCTGGCTGCTGTTCCCGGCTTTAATTAACAGAGACTGCCCCCTGTTTGTCACAAGGAGAGTGCAGGGAGCCTGCCTCAGAAAGAAGCCGACCTAATAGACCGACCTTCGCGGCTTATTTGCCAGATCCCAAACTCTAAACCTGCTCCCCCTGTGAGCTTCACCCAAAGCGAATTCCCTTGCTGTTCCCGCCTGCCCCTCTGGAATATCGCCCACACCTGTTTCCCAAGCCTTTGAAAAATATGTACAAGAAGGGGGGAATCAGGCTCATTTTACTCTTTAAAGGAAGAAAGCCACTTTCCTCTGGGTATGTCAACTCAGTAAATAGAGTCACTGCCGCCTAATAGGTGTGTGATTATTGAGAACATGTCCCCATTTAGAACACGTGGTTGAGAAAACATTTCTTTCAGGGTTCCTCACGGGGAGGGGTGCGGCGTGGGGGGGATGGTTATTAACTTCCTAATTGAAACACCTGTCAAGTTCATGGAAGATGAAAAATCATCATCAAAGACCACCCCCCACCACTACCCAAATGAATTCATGCAAATGTGTTGAAATTAAAACGCAGCTCTTAATGAAAGTGCTTTCTATGAAAGAGATGATGACATTATTTACAAGACAGGCACTTTTAATACCTAAAGAAGAATCTCGTTTGCTCTAGGCTTAATTATGTCAGTCTGCAGCACCATTTGCAAGGAGCCTGCAACCGTACTCCCAACAATTAAGGGGGAAGGAGCGATGTTACAAAGGAGGTTTGCTCACCAGGACTCGGAGCCCGTGTCCCTCTACAAGCAACTCCACAAATCAGACTATTTGTGTTGTGGCCCTCACCTGAAGGCGTTGATTGTTTAATAGTCCTCATCAGGTGGCTTTTAGGGTTTCAAAAAGGTTTCTTAGCAACTGTTAGCCTTGAGAAAAAAGAAATGAGAGGACTCGGAAGCTCTTGGTTCGAAACCTTAAGAGCTACCTGGGGGCTGGAGGAGGGGCAGGGAATCAAAACTAAACTCCCATATACAGAGCGTTAAGGAGAGACCAAAGAAGGGGGCAGATGTCTCCAGATGGGCGGGTGGTGGGGGTAATAAGCTAGGGAACTTACAAGGCCTGCCCTGGGCCCTGCAAGGCGAGTGGATCTCTGCAACTGCCTGCCAGAATTTTACAAGTTTATATTACACAGAGCTCGCAACGGGGGTCAGTAGTATATTGTCCAGATGGTCTAAACAGCACTTTGCTCTCCCAAGGCTGCATCCTTGAAGCAGACTCCTAGTGCCAGAACAGTGGGTGGAATATACATTGCAAGGACAGAGGAGGGGGGGACGAGCCTCTGATTGCCCACCTCCAGCTCAG